ATACAAAATAAATCACAGAAGCAAGTTAAAACAAACCCAGAAGGAATCTGATTGTGAAACATGCTACTGATTGGCAGTCAAGGAATGCCATATGCTAAACACTATTTTTTTATTTATCTGAAATTCAAATTTAAATGGATATCCTGTTATTTTTATTTGGAAAAATCTGGTAATCTTACTATGATGAAAAGGTTGTGAGAAAGCCTGGTGATCAGACTCAATAATCTGATTCTTCATTTGATGATACAGTGTTTTGATGCCAGAGCGTTACATTTACGTGGAGGTGTGAAGTACAGGTCCCAGTGAAGCATTTTATAGAATGCAAGGAGAACATTTTGGGAAGTTCTTTCTACATTTAAGTGACTGGTAGGGATTTCACCTTACAAGATGGTAAAGTTATTTGATCAAGAAAAATAGGGGAAACAAAGCTGAGCTATAGGAAAGAAAATTCAAACCACTGAAAGCATCTAATGCTCAACAGACTGGAGGGGCAGTGTCTTGTGCATTCAAGGAAACAAAGTGGGCTGTTATCCCCTCTGAGAGGGGTCATCCACTCTGCTTTATCAAGTGTGAGCAAGGCTGGGCTGCATTGTTCTTTACACTCTTGATATACAGTGGCCCTGTGTTCTGGCTCCTGTTTTAAATGGGGCTGTAAAAACATTACAAAAACCCCAACAATAAACACTCTGCTGAGAATGTGAGGTCATAGTAATATGACCTCACAGGGAGCCAGGTCCTGAGAAGGCTGGTTGATCAGCAGACTCTGGAGTGGTGGGTGAGCAACACTGGGAAGGGCTCACAGGACAAAGGATGGCCCAGGCACACCCCGGAGGTTGTGATGGCTTCTTCCTGGTGTCTGTATTGCTGCTGGTGAGTTTGCGTCACCATCATATTGCTAGGCTTTCCGATTTAAAAGAGCAATTTCTTTTCTTGTTCAAGTAATCTCATAAATTGTGAAACAGGACAGAATGAAGCCATCTGGGAATGGAGGAATCATCCTCACTTTGTTCCTTATTCTTTCCCTTTACTGAAGGTTTTTTTCAAGAAGATCCAGAGAAGTCTGTTGCACAGATTTTAAAAATTACACCTTTTTGGTGAATGGGAGGAAAACTAGGTGAAATTAACAGAGCTGGGCAAGATAGAAGGAAGAGACAAATATGTAGAATGAGAAACATGGGGGGTAAGAATGATTTTGAGCAGTTATTTTTTTAAATATACCTTCATTAAGATAAGCCTCTTGTATTTGACAAAGTCGGCCCTGTACTATATAGGTGGTATAATTACTTTGTTTGCAGGGAGTGGTTAAATATCTACCATGGTTTGCCCTGAGAAGTGAACAGTAAGCAGCAGTTTAATTGACATTTGGAAGAGAATGCATTTCAACACAACTCCAGGGATATTTTTATAAAAATTGCTTGATTGTAACTAACATAGTTCTTAGAGTAAATATTTTGTATTTCTACCACTTATGTGGGAAAACTCAAAGTAACCATGAATTGCCCTTTAAAAGAAATTTCTACTGAGTTTATCTTAAGTAAGCTGTAGATAATAATTAAATATCATTTTCTGTTAGGATATATTTCACAAAGCTAACTGGTGATGTTAACTCTATAAAGGAAGGTTTAGCATGAAAAAAATATTTAAATGCATTTTCATGAAGATTTTATTATAATGAAGCCATTCATTTTAATTGGTGGTTATTTTCTATTGAAAAATTATTTAAGGTGGTTTATTGTTTAAGGAAGGTTACTGTATATCTGGTTTTCCTGGGTCAGTGCCAATTTATGCCTGTTCTGGTATTGGCATTGACTATAGTTTAGTATTCGACATAGACTTTTAAAAAATGAAGTGTTAGGGCCGGCCCAGTGGCGCACTGGAGAGTGCGCCGCTTGGGAGTGTGGCGGCGCTCCCACCGAGGGTTCGGATCCCATGTGGAGACCGGTCCCGCTCACTGGCTGAGCGCAGTGCGGGCGCAACACCGAGGGTTGCGACCCCGTTGCCGGTCCCCGGTACGGGCGTGACACCGAGGGTTGCGATCCCGTTACCGGTCAGTAAAAAAGACAAAAAGGAAAAAAAAAACAACGAAGTGTTATTATTACTAGTTGCAGTAAAATAAGCTACCATATGTTTGGTAGACCTCTGTTTTGTACCTCCAGCTTTTAAGGTCTCATCTGGGAATGTGTGAGTTGACAAATGGTTTGAACAGAATTTTCACATCATTGAATTCAAAAGACAATCTGGGATAACCTGTCTCTCTTTTCCCTACTCTTATATATAGCTCCCTCTCAAGGGCAGTATGTGGGGTGCTTGCTGATAAAGCGTGCTTGCAGAGGAGTTGCTGGGGACCGTTAACTTCAAGTCTGCTGGTTGGGGGGAAGTGTAGGACTCTGCAGCCTCTCTGAAGCTCCTTGGTGCAACAGCTGGTTGTGCGGGAACCCTGGCTGCATTCTGAGTGGCAGTATAGCTGCAGACCACCACTTTGGTGGTTGATCAGTGGGAAATGGGAAATTGTAAACTAGGTAGGATAAGTAACAAGTTAGAGATTGAGCAGTTCTGCTTAAAAATATATTCTTGCTACTGTGGTTTTTGTCATTTATTACATGGTGTGAATTTACAACTTTTTTTCAAATTCAGATTTCCAAAAATATTTAACAGCTTTGAGTTACAATTCAAATAACACAACGTTTACCTTTTTAAAGTATAAAATCTGGTGGTTTTGGTATATTAACAGAGCTGCTTAGCCCTCACCACTATCTTAAGTATATTTTCATGATCCCAAGAAGGAACTCTGTACCCAATAGCAGTACTGTTTTTTTGATCGATAATGCTGTTTTTACTTTGTAACAATTACAATTACATATTTAATGATTTTATCATCCCTGTTCCTTCTTCAGTGTCCTAGTTTAGAAGCTTATGATGCAGGTCATGCCAAAGAAAGATGGGATAGAGCAAGGGCTTGCAAACCACCATCTGTGGGCCCAATTCAAACTAGCCTGGAATGGCTTAATATTTTCAAAAGTTGTAACAACAACAGGAAAGCAGCATGTATGATAGGAACCTCGTGGCCTGCAAGCCTAAAATATTTATTACTTGATCCGTTATGGAAAAATTCTGACTGTCCCTGGTTTAGGGTCTGTGGTGTGTTGGAAGGCCATTTAAGCAGTGTTTTATCATGAGCATGTCTTTGTTACCATGTTAAAATGAAGATTTGGAAATTAATGTATCCCTCATTGGTTTTAGTGTTATAAATGCATAAGGTAACACTCCACAGCAGGCCACAGGGTATAGTTCCTTCAGTAGGTTTGTGAGGTCAAAGTTATTTTATACTATCCACTACATTTTCTTCCATTTTTACCATATTGATATTGTATAGTACAAAAGCAGTAGTGGGGCCTTGCAGAAATGAAAGTAGTGGCACCAAACTTCTAGTTGTCATTGTATTCTTCACTGCCATCATTTAAAGTAAAAACAAAGGCCAGTTTCACCTAAAATTGTCCTTGATGAAGCCAGTACAAATTAATTTTATTACATTTTAACACTGAGTTCATGTCCTTTAAATTTCACATGTGACGAGATGGGAATAAAGCACTTCCGCTCCTGATGGTTTTTTTTTTTTCCTTTTTGTCTTTTTTCGTGTCCGGCAACGGATCGCAACCCTCAGTGTCACGCCCGTACTGGACCGGGACTGGCCACGGGATCGCAACCCTCAGTGTTGCGCCCGCACCTCGTTCAGCCAGTGAGCGGGAACCGGTCTGTATGTGGGATCCAAACCCTCGGCGGGAGCGCCGCACTGTAGCAGTGCGCCACCGGGCCGGCCCCTGCTCCTGATGGTTTTCGCCAGGAGACGCGCCCATTTGTCATTTGAGCTGAGCTATACACTAGTCCCTCTTTTTCATGGAACGTCATTTTTCCTTGAAAGAATGATAAACTATGTTATTGGCAAACATTTTCTGGAAAATGAATTGAGTGATTCTGTTACTTTAAAGAAAAATACTGACAATATTTGTAGCCAATGATTAAATTTGAACTTTTGATCAAAAATTAGAATTTTGGAAAACATATCTGCCACCAAAAGTTTGACAGCTTCCCAATATTTAAAGAATTTCCTGAAGGTACTGGTGGTGACATTAATGAATGTGATTTTTTTGATATCGTATAATGAAATGTGTCAACTAATATTTTGCAAACAGCCAACATGTGGTGTTACAAAATTATGCATGGGTAAAAGATCCATTCAAAGTATAAAACGTATTTTAGCGTAAGAGTACAGAAAGTTCATTGACATGAATTTAGATTCTGTATTGCGACTTAAGAAACTACCGGTTATCTTATTTTGGTGTGGTATCAATAAAGAGTATCCACAATTAAACAAAAATAAATATTAAAATACTCCTCCTTTTTCTAACTAAGTATCTATGTGAGGCCAGATATCCTTAAAATGCTTCAACCAAAACAGTATGTTGTTACAGATTGAATGTAGAGGTGGCCCTGAGAATCTAGCTGCCTTCGTATCAAGCCAGCCATTAAAGAAATTTGTAAAAAATGTAAACCACTGTTTCTTATCTCACCAAATTTTATTTTGTTTCAGAAAATGTATTTTTAATAAAAATGTAATGTTTATATTACATAAAATGGATTTATTATTTTTAAATGAATTAGTAAATATTTAACTTTTTAATGTTTTAATTATTAATATGGTAAATATCAATAGATAACCCACATAAACAGAAGCTCTTTGGAGTCCTCAATATTAAAAATGTGAAGTTCCTAAGACCAACTAGTTTAAAAACTGCTAGTCTAGAGTTTAGGCAATCACTTTTTTAGTCCTTTGAAATATAGTAACTGAAAATATTTTATGCACAGTTAAGTATGAAACGATCTCATTTAAGTTTTTATTTGTTTGTTCTACAATGTCATGATTATTTCATCAACCATTTTTTTTTTGCTATATAAGAAAACTTTTTTATTACTTTGTTTTCCTTCTTTATCTATTCTCCTAGCAATGCTGAGGTGAAAAAAACACGGCTAGAGGCTCATTCTGGAATGGGGAACACTGAAATTCTGGAAAAGGAGACTTCAGAAGGACTCAGTAATGGCACCAGCAGTAATGTGGAAGCAGCCAAAAGGCTGGCCAAACGCCTTTATCAACTGGACAGATTCAAAAGATCAGATGTCGCAAAACATCTAGGCAAGAAGTATGTTCTAGTCTAAGGCTGGTGTCTGTTTGAGTTTATTGTGTGTGTGTGTGTGTATTTTAATAGTTTCCATTTCAATAACCAAGTCTATTCTGTTTTCTTATAGCAATGAATTTAGCAAACTAGTTGCGGAAGAATATCTGAAGTTTTTTGATTTTACGGGAATGACACTGGATCAGTCTCTCAGGTATGATTAAACATCATTTCTTTATTGCCTCCAAAGAATTCATTCTTGGAGAGAAAGAAATGTGCTTTATCTAGAATCTGATTTTATTATTTTAAACCCCCATTTACTTTGTGAACTTAGCTCAGATTGTATTTATAGATATCGACATAGCAGAGAGTGAGAAAAATGTATTGTTTTTATGAAATCACAGATGAACTGATATTCTGCATCTACTGATAAGCCCAAGTCCAGATGGCATAGTAAAGAATGGTGTAAAGCAAGTCTGGAGAAAAAGTGGAAACTGTGGGACTGTTTTTTTCCCCCTATTTTTTTTTTTTTTATTGTGGTGAAGTACATATAAACATAAAATTTACCATCTTAACCATTTTTAAGTATAAGTCAGTGGTATTAAATACATTCATAATTTTGTGCAACCATCACTACCATCCATCTCTGTAACTCCTTTCATCTTGTAAAACTGAGACTCTATATTCATTAAACCATAACTCCCCATTTCCCTACCCACCAGCCCCTGGCAACCACCATTCTACTCCCAGGTGCCTCATACAGGTGGAATCATACAGTAGTTGTCTTTTTTGTGACAGGCTTATTTCACTTAGCATAATGTCCTAAAGGTTCCTTGATATTGAAGCATATGGCAGAATTTCATTTCTTTTTAAGGACAAATATTATTCCATTGTATGGATTGTGTTAGTCCATTTCTGTTGCTTATGACTAACTACCTGGAACTGGGTAACTTATAAGAAAATGAAATATATTGCTTACTGTTTCAGAGGTACAAAGTCCAAAGTCATTCCACTCTTGGCCCCCCAAAACTCATGTCCTTTTCACATACAAATGCATTCATTTCATCCCCAAAGTCTTAACTTGTTTAAACTCAAAAAGACTAAAGTTCAAAGTCCCATCTATGAATTCAAAACAAGGTATCTACTTCCAAGGTAACAATGGTGGGACAAAGTGTACACATTCTCATTTGAAAAGGGAGAAATAGGCCAAAAGAAGTGGGTAACAGTACCAACCAAGTCCAAAACCCAACAGGGCAGGCATTAAATCTCAAAGTTGGTGAATTATGTACCTTGACTCCATGTTTGATGTCCTCTGCCCAGTGGTGTGGGAATTGGATCCCTAGGTCCTCAGGCAACTCCATTTCTATAGCTCTCCTGGTCTCAGGTGATGCTTTAGCTCTTGCAGGCTGGCATTGCACTCTGGTAGCTCCACCATTCTGAGGTCTCTATGTGGTCCCACTCTCACGGCTCCACTAGGGATGGCACTGATGGCGTTTCTCTGCTGCAACTCCAACCCCACATTTCTGCTCAGCATTGCTCTAGAGAAGACTCTATGTGGTGACTCCACCACTATGACAGATCTCTTCCTGGACTCCCAGGCTTTTCCACATATCCTTTGTAATCGGAGTGGAGGCTCCCAAGCCTCCACAGCTCTGGCATTCTGTCAGCCTGCAAACTTAACACCATGTGGACACTGCCAAGGCTTCTGGCTTGTATTTTCCAAAGCTGCAAGTCTAGCCATACCTGGGGCCAATGTAGCTATGGCTGGAGGAGCCAAAGCAGCCAGGGTGCTGGTGCCGGAAGCAGCTTCCCAAGGTGGTCCTGGGCAGCGAGCTCAAGGGGGGCACCTCATGCTTGTTTTCCAAGACTATTCTGTCTCACCTAGGCCTTTGGACCTGAAATGGAAGGGTTGGCTTAGAAGCTTCTGCAGTGTTTTTAGGGCATTTTCCACCTTTCTTTTGTACTAATCTCCTTAGCAAATGGCCACTGGGCTAAACCATTGAATTTTTCTCCTAAAAATGCTCTCTGCTTCTCTACCACATGGCCAGACTACAAATTTTCCAAATCTTTACACTCTACTTCTCTTTTAAATTCTGGCTTTACATCATGCCTTTGCCACTGTAACTCATCATAGGCTGTTGCAAGTAGTCATGCAGCTACCTTAATGCTTTGCTGCTTAGAAATTTCTTCTGCTAAATACTCTGATTCACATCTCTTAAGTTCCAACTTCCACAAAGTCCTGGGGCTTTGACACAGTGCAGCCAAGTTCCTTGCCAGTTCATAGCAAAGGTGATCTTTGCCCCAGTTTCCAGTAAACTCCTTATTTCTATCTGAGACCTCAGTTTCAGGTAGAGGTCTTTACATTTCATGTTTCCGTAAGCATTCTTATCACCACTATTTAACCAATCTCTCAAATTTTCCCTGGTTTTCTTGTCTTCTAAACTTTCACCACCATCTAGGCTTTTTCTAGCCTGTTCCTCCAAATTCCTCCAGCCTCTCCTCAACACCCAGTTCCAAACCTGCTTACACATTTTCAGGTATGTTATAAGCAACACCCCACTTCTCTAATACCAATTTTCTTCTTAGTCAGTTTCTGTTGCTCTAACAAAGTACCTGGGACTGGGTAATTTATAAAGAAAATAAAATTTATTGCTTACAGTTTCAGAGGTTGGGAAATCCAAAGTCCAGTGAACACATCTGGTGAAGGCTTTCTTTGGTGGTGACTTCAGTAACATCAGGGTATCACATTGCAAAAATAGCATAGTAGAGAGACACACTAATCACCTCATTCATTCTCCTTTAAAGCCCTACAAACCACACCCATGACCACCATTTTTAATCCACTCACTATGGCATGGCCCTACAATCTAATCACCTCTTCAAGGCCCCACCTTTCAATTACCATAAAAGGATTTCCCACCCTCTTTGCACTGTCACAGTGAAGACTAAGTTTTGGGGGAACATTCAACCCAAGGCATGGATAGACCACCATTTGTTTATCCATTCATCTGTCAATGAACATTTGGGTTGTTTCCACATTTTAGCTGTTGTGAATAATGCTGTTGTCAACGTGGGTGTGCAAATATCTCTTTGAGACCCTGCTTTCAATTCTTTAGTGTAGGGAGTTTGGTTTTTTGAATGATTAGTTAAAAAAGAACAGTTTACAGACTATAGAATTACAGTTTTCCTAAGCATTTGCTTATAATAGCCAAATAGCCTTTTGAAATAATACTTTGAATTTGATTTTTGAATGGAATAAAAATGAGTATCAACATAATAATCAGCAGAAATGATCTGTAAAAGCCTATCAGACAATATTCACTTTTTGCTGACCTTTTTAAATAAAGATGTCTAAAACAAATTGATCCTCACTTTTCATATCATACTGCAAATTTCTAAGAGGAGCTGAAGTTAAAACCCAGTCATCATTTACTCTTACAAACTATAAAATGGCAGAGCCTGGAAGAATTCTGAGATCATATAGTATAACCCTTTAGTTTTACAAACCGTGAAATGGAGGCCTGGTAGGTGAAGTGAGGATGTTTGGATTAGAGTGTACAACAGTGATTTATTTTGTGCCTCTTTCCATTGAATCAAGGATACTCATAGGTTTTGTAATGAAATCAAGTAAGAATGGAGGAAAGATCTATATTTTTTCTTTGTATTATGATGTGGTTTATTAAAAAAAAAAAAAGGTGGAGAGCTTTTTCTTCTAAGACCAGGAACGAGGCAAGGATACCCAGTCTCACCACATCTATTCAACAAAGTACTGGATGTCCTGGCCTGAACAATTAGTCAAGAGAAAGGAATAAAAGACATACAAATTAGAGAGGAGGAAGTCAAATTGTCCCTGTTTACAAGTGACATGATCTTATGTATAGAAAATCCTAAAGACTCCACCAAGAAACTGTCAGGACTATAAACAAATTCTGTAAATATGCAGAAGATACAAGATACAAAATCAACACATAAAAGTTAGTAGCATTTCCATATGCTAAAAGTGAACTATCTGAGAAAGAAATCAAGAAAACAATTTCATTTACAATAGTTACTAAGAAAAGATAACTATGAATAAATTTAACCAAGGAGGTGAAAGATCTCTACACTGAAATCTATTTAAAAAAAAAAAAAAAAAAGAAAGAAAGAAGTCGAATGGGCACAAATAAATGGAAAACTATACCATGTTTATGGATTGGAAGAATTAATATTGTTAAAATGTCCATACTACCTAAAGTGATCTGCAGATTCAATGTAATACCTACCAAAATACCAATAACATTCTTCACAGACATAGAAAAACAATCCTAAAATTTACATTGAACCAGAAAAGACCCCAAATAGCCAAACCAATCATGAGCAAAAAGAACCAAGGTGGAGAGATCACATTACCTGACTTTAAAATATACTATAGAGCGATACTAACCAAAACAGCATGGTACCATAAAAATAGACACATTAGACCAATGGAATAGAATAAAGAACACAGAAATAAATCCACATACTTAGAGGTGACTGATTTTTTGACAAAGGAACGAAGAACACACACTTGGGAAAGGGCAGTCTCTTCAAAAAGTGGTGCTGGGAAAAATGGATATCCACATGCAGGAGAATGAAACTTATCTCTCACCATGTACAAAAATCTTTCATCAGTGGATTAAAGACTTAAATGTAAGATCCCAAACTATAAAACTAGTAGGAGAAAACATAAGGGACCCACTTCATGACATTAATCTGGACAAAGATTTTTGGATATGAACTCAAAAGCACAGGCAACAAAAGCAAAAGTAAACAAATGGGATCATACTAAAAAGGTTCTGCACAACAAAGGAAATGATCAACAGAAAGAAGAGACAACCTATAGTCTAGGAGAAAATATTTGCAAGCTAGGCACCTGACAGTGGGTTAACATGCAGACTATGTAAGGAACTCAAACCATCCAGTAGCACAAAAATACAAATAATCCAGTTTAAAAAGGGCAAGTGAACTGAGTAGACATTTTTTAAAAGAAGACATACAGATGGTCAATGAGTATATGGAAAAAATGCTCAACATTACTAATCATCAAGGAACTGTGAATCAGCACCACCTCAGAATGGCTATTATCAAAAAGAAAATAAATACTGGTGTGAATATGGAAAAATGAGATCCGTTATACACTATTGACCGGAATGTAAATTAGCATAGCCATTATGAGAAACAATGTGGAGTTCTTAAAAAAAAATTAAAAATAGTGTGCTATATAATCCAGCAATCCCACTACTGGGTATTTATCCAAAGGAAATGGAATTGGTGATGTCGAAGAGATATCTGCACTTCTGTGTTTATTGCAGCAGAATTCACAATAGCCAAGATATGGAATCAACCTAAGTGTTCATCAGCAGATGAATGGATAAAATGTGTGTGTGCGCACATATGTATATGCACACACAATGGAATACTAATCGGCTGTAAAAAAAAAAAAAAAAGAAAAAAAGAAATCCTGTCATTTGCAGCAACATGGATCAACCTGGAGGACATATGTTAAGTAAAACAGCCAGGCACAGAAAGACAAATACTGCATGACCTCACTCATTTATGAAATTTTAAAAAGCTGATCTCAGAAGTGGAGAGTAGAGTAGTGTTTACCAGAGGCTGGGGAAGTGTACTGAGAGGAGGGTGGGATTGGGAGAGATTGGTCGACAGGTTCAGAATTACAGATATATAGGAGGAATAAGTAGTGATGTTCTGTTGCACAGTAGGAGTAATAATATTGTATATTTCAAAATAACTAGAAGAGAGGATTTTGAATGTTCTTATCACAAAGAAATGATAAATATTTGAGGTGATGGATAAGCATTATTCTGATTTGATCATTACACAACATATACATGTATTGAAATATCACACTGTACCCCAATAATATGTATGATTATTATGTCAATTAAAAATGGAATAAAACTTAAAGTTATGAAAAATTAAAGTTTGGTTAATATAATTTAGGTTAACAAACTATAAATCTATAATAAGAGGGCAACATTTTCATAGAAATGTTTTGTTGTATGTTTCTTACAATAGTAAGATTCTTTAGAACATGTTAAGTGATTTTTTTTTTTTTCTTACCATCTCCTGTTCAGGAAAATGCAGCTACGTTGTCAAGTAAGGGTCTTCTTCATTAATAAACAGTGCTCTCAGTGGATCTGATTTAATAGTGATGTGTGGTTCTGGGCATATTTCCTATTATTCAAAGAAGTTTTATACATATATTAATTTATTTCATAATTTAAGAAATAAATCAGGGTTTTAGCTCCCCAATTTCTCCTTATCTAAAAAATTAATAATAAGATGTGATAATAGGCAAAATAAAATTAACAGAAATCTGCACACAAGGCAGTGTAATTGTAATTTTAATTACAACAAAGTCAGTTGTGATTACACAATCATGCAACAAAATGATAAAAGAACCCTGATGTGGGTAGAGTTTTAAAATACAGCCTGTATAAGTTGAATCTTAAGTATTCTTTGGTTGTTTTTTATCTGACTGATGTTTTAAAATTGGCTACTTGACACTTAGTCATACCTTCCCAAGGCTTTCTTGATGTACGGGCTACCTTTTTATTCCCCTGTCATCCTTTATATTGACATTTTATAGAATTTAAATATCAATATAAATTTATATTGAATGGTCATCTAGTAAGTTGGTTTTTTGGGAGAAATAACTGCATAATTAATATCTTATGTTTATATAAATCATCTTTAACTGTCAGATGTAAAGAGTGTGATAACATTTTCTAAAGTTTTACTTTTTTTCCCCCTTAATTCTTTTTTAGGTATTTCTTCAAAGCATTTTCTCTTGTGGGAGAAACTCAAGAAAATGTAAAGAGTGTGATAACATTTTCTAAAGTTTTACTTTTTTTTCCCCTTAATTCTTTTTTAGGTATTTCTTCAAAGCATTTTCTCTTGTGGGAGAAACTCAAGAAAGAGAAAGAGTTTTGATACACTTTTCCAACAGATACTTCTATTGTAACCCAGATACCATTGCTTCACAGGGTAATCTGATGGAAATTCTTGAATTTCTTTTTATAACAGTGGTTATTTTTCTTATTATGCAAGTTGCATTTTATCATGGAAAGTATAGATAATTATGCAAAAGAAAATGGAAATCACCTAAGTGTCTCTAATTACCTAGGAAAAACTATTAATACTTTGATTTACTTCCTTCTAGTCTACTTATGAAATAGTTCATGTCAAATTGGAATTATTACAGAGTTTTGTTTTCTGCTTTCTCTTTCATTAGGAGCATTTTCTCCTGTCACTAACTTCTCTTTAAAAGCATGGTTTAATGACAGCATGACATTCTTCACCCTTCATTTAATTATTTTTACCTTATTTTCCAAATCTTTAGTGTGACAGTGTACTTTCTTTAAATTGCCCATGCTTTGTCACTCTGAGATTTTATGTGCAAAGTACATTATAATAAATGAAATGCCATTTTTCTTATTTCTCCTTTTTATGTCTATGGTCTCTACACTTCTTGATGAAAGTCCATGTATGCTTAGTTTTGTGGTTAGTTTTGGAAGCATTTACAAATCTCACTGGAAGTCTAGTGCTTTTGTTTGATATTAATTATAATAACACCACTGACTTTCATGGATGATTTCAGTTTATGTTTATTGTACTATTTTTACAAAGTACTTTAAACTATTTAATTATTGACCTACCTTATGAAGGGAGGTAATTCCTGCAATAAAACAAAATTTTCAGAGTTTGAAGTCAAGCACATTCATTTGCAATTGGGCAATCCTTCATAAACTTAAAAATCGTGGAATAAATCACTGAGACTAGATGCACAAGAAATGGTAATTATTTCTTAGCTTCAGTATTGCCAGTTAACTGGGATAAGTACAATTGATCACTTGATATTGACTAAGGTCCTTGCTCCTGCCTCCCCTCTGTCCCCCAGGCTGTCTACAGTTAATTTACCATCTGATTATTAAGGTCGTATTTCTATCTGTACACTGATGCTGTTTTGAGTACTATTTATTCACTATCTCTATTCCTTTCAGCATTGACTAGAGAATGAAAGAGATAGAAAAGGGTTGTTTTTATTAAAACATTCTTGAAATCTAAGATGTTGACATTCCTGAGTAAAATAAGAAATACGGATTTGTGCACTCAATTGGCTGTTGATAAGGGTATTTGAAAGTTGGCTGCTGAATTTTTCAAATGCCTTCAGGAATTTGCTTTAAGTGCATATAGAATTTGTGATAAAATGGAACTGGAATAAATATTCTTTTAGGCACTTAGTAGCATCTATTTAGAGGTATTGGTGACAGAAATCACCTTCTGTACTAAAAGGCATACTTTAAAAATGGCTGTCTTTAATTTATAAATTCAGTAATTGGACAAGCCTCTCTGTACAGCTAGCATAAATNGAGCGCCGCCACGCTTCCCAAGCGGTGCACTATCCAGTGCGCCACCGGGCCGGCCCTAGAAATGTTTTGTTGTATGTTTCTTACAATAGTAAGATTCTTTAGAACATGTTAAGTGATTTTTTTTTTTTTTCTTACCATCTCCTATTCAGGAAAATGCAGCTACGTTGTCAAGTAAGGGTCTTCTTCATTAATAAACAGTGCTCTCAGTGGATCTGATTTATAGTGATGTGTGGTTCTGGGCATATTTCCTATTATTCAAAGAAGTTTTATACATATATTA